AGAATTATTAGGCAAGTGAGTATTTTGACCATATCATCATTTTTATGCATTTTTTCCAACTCCAAGCTGTATAAACTTGAATGCTTATTGGATTTAAGCATTTCAGGTGATGTGTTTTTGTGTAATGAGGGAGGGTGTGGCCTAAGGAGAAAAAACACCCTATATCAGGTGTGCATAATTATTAGGCAGCTTCTTTTCCTCAGGCAAAATGGGCCAAAAAAGAGATTTAACTGACTCAGAAAAGTCAAAAATTGTAAAAAGTCTTTCAGAGGGATGCAGTACTCTAGAAATTGCTAAGATATTGGGGTGTGATCACAGAACCATCAAACGTTTTTTAGCAAAACCTCAACAGAGTCGCAAGAAACGTGTTGAGAAAAAAAAAAGCAAATTAACTTCCAAAGATTTGAGAAGAATCAAACGTGAAGTGACCAGGAACCCATTATCCTCCAGTGCTGTCATATTCCAGAACTGCAACCTACCTGGAGTGCCCAGAAGTACAAGGTGTTCAGTGCTCAGAGACATGGCCAAGGTAAGGAAATCCGACCACCACTGAACAAGAAACATAAGTTGAAACGTCAAGACTGGGCCAGGAAAGGTTTTATGGACTGATGAGATGAGAGTGACTCTAGACGGACCAGATGGATGGGCCCGTGGCTGGATCAGTAATGGGCACAGAGCTCCACTTCGACTCAGACGACAGCAAGGTGGAGGTGGGGTAATGGTATGGGCTGGTATTATTAAAGATGAGCTAGTTGGACCTTTTCGGGTTGAAGATGGACTCAAAATGAACTCCCAAACCTACTGACAGTTTTTAGAAGATACTTTCTTCAAGCAGTGGTACAGGAAAAAGTCTACATCTTTCAAGAAGTCCATGATTTTTATGCAGGACAATGCTCCATCGCATGCATCGAAGTACTGATGAAAGAGATGAAAGAATTATGATATGGCCCCCTTCGTCACCTGATTTAAACCCTATTGAGAACTTGTGGGCCCTTCTTAAACGGGAGATTTACGGTGAAGGAAAACAGTACACCTCTCTGAACAGTGTATGGGAGGCTGTGGTGGCTGCTGCACAAAAAGTTGATCATCAACAGATCAAGAAACTGACTTGGAATGGAAGGCTTATAACTGTTATTGAAAAGACGGTGGCTATATTGGTCACTGATCTTTTTTTTTAAATGTCAGAAATGTTTATTTGTAAACTGAGTTGTTTGTCTCTGTAATTCTCACTTTAACAGATTAAAATAAACTGTCGTTTATTTAAAAAAAAAGTGAGATGGGAAAATTTTCATTTTGCTGCGTAATACTTCTGCACACTAAGAGTTGCCTAATAATTGTGCACACATATATTATCCTAAGAAAGCCAAAACCTCACTTTTGCTTTCTTAAATATTCAGGATTGAGGGTTTATTAACATTTTGGATTGACTGAGAGCACGGTATTTGTTCAATAATAAAATTAATCCTCAAAAATACAACTTGCCTAATAATTTTGCACACAGTGCATAATGAACCAAATTGTAACTACCTTGAGTACCATGTCAGAGACACGACCGTAGACATTTATCAGAAGGAGTGATTCATCTGTATTTTGACTTCCTTCCTGCTGCAGCTCACACTTGGATACACAGCTCTGTCTCAACGGCAGGCAACCCATTTGCCTGATGACTCAACATTAGCCGATTTAGCTGCTGCTGCACAATCATAATGCCATCAAACTTCACTAATAGCCGATAACACAACAGTCTCTGATTTCCGTTGCTTGGCCAACATGAATCCCATTTTGTCCAGACCGGAACTTTAGTAGCAGCCTTAAATCCAAGCTGGGCCAACATGGCTCCTATCCCGGCTTTCTTTACTCTCCTCTGAACAATCACTGCACACACTGTGGTGCCTGGTCCAGTTCATCTGTCTGGTAGATGTCTAAGGTCAGCTGCTCTTTAATCCTAAACCCGGTTTTCTTTTTCCAATGATTGATGAATATTTCTCATAATAATGTAATACATATTTCGGAAGTAAAGCCGGAAAACAAAAGTCTAGCGGAGTTTGAAGGAGCTACTGGCTGCAGCATCTAGATGTGCTAGTGGTATTAAATGAATGACAATAAAGTTTTAAACTTAGTTTTCTCTGCTGTACCAAAAATTAACTGAGAATTGCACCGTTAGACCCCTACTGATCACATCTCTTTCTGTCACTTTATGATATTTCGGTTTTAGTGTATATGTGTTATGGAAGCTGTAAGTATTCTGTTGGCCAGGTGGTACAAAGTGTTATTTAAGCTTTCTTTAACCAAACAAGGTCAAGTCAAACAAGTCTCAGACTGTAAGTGATAGACATCTCTGAATGAAATGACCAGCGTGTTAAACTGTTGTGAACTGTAGAACAACATTTGGTATTTGTAGGTCAAACCGCTGCCAAATCTTAGCCACTAGGTCACATCCATCAGGAATTCTGGGCATTGCGAAGCATATTATAGAGCTGACAGCTGGCACATTAGCTTGGGTTTGATTGTGGCCATATGGCCAGCGGTGAGGAGCTGCCATGACCCAAAACACCCCTGGTAAGATTCCCATTACAGAATGTTCTTCAGAAAGCCAACATCTACAAAAACATGATGTTCCTGTAGTGAACATTAATGCTTGCCAAGTGGCTGACTTCGGTGTGTCACACGTTGATATTGAGAGGCATGGTGCACCTGTAAAATGTCAGCTTAAGCCAATGTCATTAATTGTAACTCCACAATTCACTCACTCTCGGGACTGTACATCAGGAACATTGGACAATGGAGCCATGGCATCTCATGATTAATACTCTGTTTTTACCAGACATCCTTATTTATTGATCTTTGTTAAATGTGATGAAAATGGATTTATCATGAAGCACATGCAGGATGTGATGAGTAGCAGCAATAACTTAACACATTAAATTTAGCTCTTCACAGCAAAAGAGATATTTAAATATTTACTGCGGATCGGTCACATCTGGCCGATACCCGATCAACTGGATAAAGTCAGAATCAAGGCCAATACTACTTGGATGGATAAATCAAGGTCTAAAATTCACATTTTTTCACTGCCTGCCATTGTGGCTGCCAGTGAACAGTTCAAAAGGAAGGGTTGCTTTCTTGAGGGAATTTTAACAAGCCGTAAGGCTGTTGATGGACACATTGGCAGTGTCAGAGATTGCCCCTGCGACCTTTCAGCTATGGGACAGTCACTGTAACTGCAAAGCAGTGCTGACAGATCATGGCATGTGTATTGTAGGCATTGAACTAATGTGTATGTACATCAACAAGCAATAACTAAGCAAGTAGGCTTGTTAGCCATTTCTAAGGGGAGTGAGGTGAGTTGCACTCTTACCATAAGCCATGCGCCTGCCAGTTTAATAGACAGCCACATTAACAACAACAATAATACCAAAGGCACTCAGGGCATGTTCAAACCAACTACGGCGCCACCCAACTCAGTTTTATAAGTGCAGTGCAAGAAGATGGATGTTGAGCTGCTGGCTATCATATGATAGCCAGCAGCTTGAAAAGATCTAGAATAACAAAATGAGCTGAGAGCACACTGCCTTCTAGGTTATTGCTCACAGTGTGCTATGTGTTGATGTTTTCTTAAAAGGTATGAACACCTGAGAAGGTAAATGCTGATATGCTTTGACTATTCTGTTCATCCTCAGTGAAATATACAACAGTTTAGCAAAACACTGTCCAGGCTGTGAATTAATGTCACTTTTTTATCTTTTATCTTTTCCTTTTTTAAAAAACAATCTCCAGTGCTTCTGTGTCAGGATAAAGATGAAACAGATACTTTCAATTATGGTTTAGACCGAACAAAACAAACTGCAGGTATGATCACACCCAATAATTTTCCTAAGCTCACTCCATATGTTGTAACAGCAATGCCAGCTGGGGAGCTGTTTCCACTTGCACATCTCATAGCTCACACTGAAAGCAGTGTGTCCAACGCTTAACTCTTCTATTGTAACTATGCTGTCAGTGTGGAAGTATGCATACTCCAACATTCTGTTCCTTTGAATTGAATCCTAACCTTGGCTTGAAAACAGAATAATTTGGTATGCACTTGTGATATACCTGATTCCTGCTCAGGGATACACCAAGGGCATTAAAAATGGGCAATGGATTCAGGCCATCATACTATGTTGTGAAAGAAAAGCTGAAATTAAAAAAGTTAGAAAAGTGAGTTTTCAGTTGACATAACACCATATCCTCATTAATATTCCAACCTAAACATATGGACCATACTTGCTGTAAGTCTTTGAACAGCCTATTAAAGAAATGGAACATGGCTTTTGGAAGATGGGTTTTCAGCGGGGCTGTTTACTTGTTGCTAATCCTCAGTCTGAAGTATAAGCATACAAAAATACCCCAACAAGAATTATTAGGATATGTTGTCAAGGAGGCTTGATTAAAGCGACATAGTCTTCCAATCAAAAAACCAACAAGCTTCCGCTTTGTATGCTATGCTATGGGCACAAGATGTACACTATAATGTCAGCTTGCCTCCACAGAACAAATTTCTCTGCTGAAGAGATTTTATTATTTTACACAAAGCAGAATCGCTCAAGCACTTGGTCTTTCTCCGAGTATAAGATAATGACAGACATTTTTGCAGCACAGATGGTGCCAGATACACCTGTGACCAGTACACGGACCAACACAAGAATATTGCCGGCTTCGCTGTGGAAATTATGTAGGCTAAATGATCCGTGTAATAAGTAACAAACAAGATGTTAGATTAAAAAATGGCAGAGGAGGACAGAAATCAGGCATAAAAGTACAAAGCAATTATCCTTCAAAATAGCGTACCCAGCCGATCAAATTTGAGGGGATGAGCAACTGACATCCATCAGTAACTACTCATGGAAATAAGGTACATTTTTACAATTATTTAATACTGGTTATATACATATATACATACAAAAAAAAGCACACAACACACGCACCTGTACAGAACAACAAACACCACCAATACGCACCTTTTACAATAAGGTTGAGGAGCTTTGGCCGCGGGTTGCGCTCACTCTGAATGGAGCACGTGTATTGGCCGTCGTCAGTTACATCCACTTTCTGTATCTGAAGGCTGTACTCATGTTTGTCTCCGACGCTGGACACGATGGACACACGCGGGTCCACAGACCACTTGTCGTTCCCTGCGAATATGATGCTCGAGCGGTTCAGCCAGGCTCCTTTAGAGATCCCATCCAACAGGTAGCACCTACAGTGACAAGAGACACGTGTTAGATCTGGAGAAATGCTTGACTGACTCGGAAAGACAACTGAATCAAGTAAATGTTTTTGAAGTCATCTTGTTTGCCGTTATCTGCCTCGCTACTAAATAACCTCTCCCTCTCTAGCAGGCAATTTTAGCTGTTAGCGCAGAAGTTCTGTGGTTTGAATGTATACAAACAGAGCTCCTGAAAATGTTTGCCTGATATTGATTTTTTTTGTGCAAGACCAGAGAGCATGTGGACCAAAGGAAGTATCAGATTTTACTTATAGGCATGAATGGGTAATGTGCCAGAAAGTGAGTCATAAAGACAACTCAACCTGTTATAGAAGACTGAAATAGCCACAGCCATGAGTAATAGTTGAGCTTGAAGATTGCTCCTCTGTTGTTGTTGGACCTTCTAAATGGGCAAAGACAAAGACAAGTTAAAGTGCACTTCTTTGTCATTCTTTTCACTGACAAGTCAAAGGCCTGGTTTAGCAGATGTTTCCCATTAATTAACGACACCATGGCGGCCCGCCATAGTCTAATTTGTTCCGCCATAGTTTCAAAATGAACCGAAAAATATTTTTACATCTGATAATATATTACAGACCTCTAACGTTGTGTTTTGTGGGCACTGCTCCGCGCTACTGTAAGCTCGCATGCTCAGACACTTTGACTCGAGACAACCACTTTTCTTTTGAGGTTTTGAGGTACAGTAACGTTAACGGCCTGTTTCTGTCACTCATTTGTGAGAATGCGATTAAGCTAGCCACGGCTACATTTGGAGTGCACACGTACTTCATGGTAAATCAACTGTAACGGACCAGTGCAAGCTGACAGGCAGGGTAGCGACTTTACCCTGTCAGTTTCTCTCTTTACCAAGACATGTGTTGCAGTATGAGAGTCTGACCTGATGCCTCAAATTTGGACCATAGACTGTATGGTTTGGACTCTGGTTGGACTTAATGAATTTAGCGCGAGGATACACACAACGCCCGGTTTTCAAAATAAGGTGTAAAACTCATAGCCCGGGCTTTTATTTGCTAAAATCACTGAATTGACCCTGCCTTTACTTGGGATGGGCGTCCATATGGGACAGGCTGTTAATTCCTTTTGCACAAAACTGAAAATAGTACGAAACAGTTTATTTATGTCAAACACAATTATACTTGTATAAAAATTATCAAATAATATCAAATACACGTCATTCATTTCATCTAGCTCCGACAGACAGCTTATGCGCTTTTATTTTGAAGGCAGCAACTTAACGAAAACAACAACAGGGTGCACGATGAGAGAAGTTAGCAGACAGAGAGCGATGGACTTCACATGACAGTATTCACAACTTGGATAAATTTTTATGAGAAGCTGTTTCAATTCTTTTGATCGGTGGACCCTTAAAGACTAAAGGAATATAAATAATCAAGGAACAGACACATTCGGACTTAACAAACATCTTTCCTTTTCCTCTCTTGTACCATGCAGGTTACATCAGTAAATCTATAAGAATTAGACTTTGGGTCTTGTTGTTTCCATTAAATGAACTGAACTGTTGTATTGTGGAGAATCTAACGATGAGCAGCATGTCCATATTGACATACTGATAATACGTTTAAATGATCTAAGCATCTTAGAAGCAGTTATAGCAGGCGACCCCGCAGGGTTTTATACGTCCAAAGAACTTCTATAAAAAGTAGACCAGGCGTTTAATTGAGGCAGGCGTTTATTTGTCAAAATAAAGGCCAGTAAAGGAGGTAGGCGGCTATTTGGGACTCGGCTATTAATTGAATTTTTACGGAATACAGCATGGAAATAAGATTAATTGGATTATATTCACAGAAAGTATAAAACATATTACATGGGTCCAATAAAAGTAAAAAACAACAACAATAAAATGTTGGGGAAATTACTTATTCTGACTTCTATTCTTTGATTCAGGGTTTTAGGGAAAAATTTAAATAAAGTTGTTGACTTTTGTTGCTGTTTCATCACCATTTATAGCTATACAATGGGTTTATGATCAAATAGTTTATTAGAGCACAAGCGTACCAAGTACCAACGTACCAAGGAGAGGGTTCAAGGACCACCCACCATAGTCTCTTAAAGTCTTGTGGGAAGCACTGCAGACGTATAGTATTTTATATTCAAGCAGATAATTAAGAGTATATGTACCTACATTTATGGCCTCACACAATGTTTGAGATTTACATATAAAATAAGATTTTTGTCTTATTCCTTTCTTGCATCCGACAGCGGCCACTGCAATGTACTTTAAGAAACAACTTTGAAAGAAAATATCTAGCTCTACTAGTACCATGTTGTAATAGGGATGTTCACCTTTCACAGCCCTGAGAAAGTTTATATGAAGACCTTCGACCTGCGACATACAATACACAAAGTCTGCTAAAAGGTGTAGAATGCACGGTGAGTACCCTGGCCACTCAAAAATACTTATGCAGTGTACAGGATGGACAGAAAAATGGCACAAAAGATGGAATCGGAGCAAAGGTGTAATGAAATGAAATACAGTATATGAGCCTATAGACTGACTGTAAAAAATATGGTACAAATAGTAGTGTGTTGTTTGTTTTCCTTCACAATTACAACTGCTGGCTGCATTTGCACAATGTGATCATCAATGGAAAAGCAAACATCTGGTGAACAAAGTCTAGGCCTTCAGTCACAAATAATCACACATTCCTTGCTCTGAATAGGCTGTATTCTAGGACCATACACATTCCTGTGTGACCATTACCAAGGCAACGCAATTTACTCTTGAAAGCTAATTGCGCAGAGTCAACAGGTCAGTGAATTGTACAACATGATGAGGTTGGGGTCACCACTGTCAGACGACAGTTGTTTTCCTTGTCATTCCAGCGCCGTTTGGACTTACGGAATCGCATCATATTCTGTGACAAATACTGTAATAATGAGTAGGGAAAGAGGCAATAAAGTTGGGCTCTTTAGCTGTTGTCAACATGCCACGCAGAATGCCAGCACCAGTAGTAAAGCCACCGAGGAAATCAGTTTGGCACTAACCACAAAGCTCTTTACCCTGGATGCCAAGAAAGTGTCTGTCAGGAAAGCTGGTAGAGGACAATGTTCTAGTCCAGGCTGGTCTCCCCTTAGAGAAGCCACTTCCCTAGAAATATTGTGCCAAATAAGGGGCAAACAATGGAGAAAGGATTATAATAAAAAACAACACAAGACAGAAACCCAGGTCCTTCGGAAAGCCCACATGGACCAGTAAGTTAGTTGGCCCATTGACCACCTGAGCTGTGATGTTGCTGGCCCTAAGGCAATATTTACTGAAGGAGCCTCAAGGCAAGTTTCACTCGTTTTCTTGTCAACAAATAAAGGAACACACTTGACCTTAAAAAAAGTTAAGAATGCAGATTATTCATCTGTTATTGTCAGATGATGGTATATGTTAAATGCATTCTCTGCCTTTGAGTGAAACAGCTTTAAAGTGCAGCACAGCTTGCTATCTACCTCTATGGGCTCTTCAGTGACTAATAATGTAACACACTTTTGTAGGTCCGCGGAGAGAGCTGGCTTAAGGCCTGAACATGCACAATGCACAATGCACCTGTGTCCAGCCCACAACCACTGATGTGAACAACTTGCTGGGCTTTCATCATTACATCCGTGTAAAACAGGGTAACCATAAAAAATGTTTTCTCCAGTGTAGTTGCTATTGATTTCTCTGTTTTCTCACCCAAAACTGTCCTTTCAGATAAGTTTTACTGGCTTGAAAAATTATCAAAAAGGTTTCCAACCACTCCTGCAGCATGACCTGCTTCTGTCCTGTCTATTTATATCACTCACAGTCTTGATATCATATGTTTATACAAAGTGCTGACCACAGTGGCTGTTGTCTGTTAAGAAGGAAACTACAAACTTTTAACGTTTGGATTAAGTATTGCAAAGCTGCAGTGCCAGAAGTCTGGCTGGACGACACTTCACCTGGCCAGGAGCTGGACTCTTGACATTTGTCTTCATCTTGATGAACCGGTCCTTGAGGTTCTTTTACTGTTTTTGCAGATTTCTTATCAGTGTCGGGTGTGTTTTCACTCTCCCTCCAGAAATGATTATAGTTATCTCACTGTCTCTGTAATCTCACACCAAGGACTCATAGATGCAGATGTCTGTATCTATGTGACAAAAAAGACCATTTTTACATTAGCACATTGTCTCAGGTGTTGTTGTTTACTTTGGAAGCTTCCGCTGCTAATGTCTTGAATAAGAACTACACGGGAACTCGTCATTTGACAATCCGGTGAGGCGGATTTAGGCTGCTGTTAGACCAAGCCATTTTAGCTGCCTGTGATAACAAGTTCACAACAGTGCTAAAAACTGGCATGTTTACGGTATACTTGAGTATGTTCCCTGCTGATTTTTTGCAGAACAAAATTTTATTCCACTGTAAATCATTGCTCATCGTGCTTGTTTTTACTAGATGGAGAGGTGTCATTGCTGAGATAATTTAACTGGACTGTTTACCTGCTTATTATCTTTACAGATAAATGTAAGCAAGAATAGATCCTGCCAGTGATAATACTTTGTTTTGAATGATATTTTAAAGTAGTTTGCTTTAGTTTGTTTGACTTGTCTTGTACTTTTCGTTCCTCGCTAAACACTTTCTGTCCAAAGTCATCTTGGAATACACCATGAAAAAAAAAGAGACACCCACAGACATTAAAAACACGCTACAACATGTACCAAACCAGTATTAACTGGAAACCACAGCAAAGTCATGTTCTCAGCTGCCACATTTCCCATGTTCATCCCCTCAGTCAGGCAGAGGAGCCACTAAAGGCTAAGGTAGGCTTCGCTTTCATCTAGCCCGTTTCTCTAGGAGCCCACCAGGATACAGACTTCCCATGGTTTATACAAAGCTCAGGTAATTATTCCGCAGACCTCAGAGCATCCACTATGAAGCAGCTTTGACACTTAAAAGATGCTTTAATTGACACTTTTATTTATCCCTTCTTCTGACAACT